AAAGTGGGGCGCCTGGGTGGCTGAGTGGGTTAAAGCCTTTGCCTTCGACTCAGGTCATGACCCCAGGGTTCTGGGATTGAGCCCCACATCGGGCTCTCTGCTCAGCAGGGAGCCTGCTTCCCCCTCTCTCTCTCTCTGCCTGCCTCTCTGCCTACTTGTGATCTCTGTCTGTCAAATAAATAAATAAAATCTTTTAAAAATAAATAAATAAAAAGTATTTTTTAATTCAGTGGAAATGAATGCTAATCTAGAGGTGATGGAATCATGAGTATTTCCATGTTTTCAAAATATTTTCCCAAAGGCATAGATTGTTTTTGTAATCGGAACAAGAAGTAAAATTTATTTGAAACTCAAAATGGGATCTCTGAAAATGGGACGGTGTCCTATATTTTTCACCTCTTAGGATTGTTTCAGGTCAGCCCCATGGCCGCTGCACAGGATTCAAATGAGATTTCCTATTTGCTCCCTCCAAACCGTAAGGACTGGGAAGAGCAAGGTGTTCCCGACTTTGTCTACCAGCAGAAGGAACTTCTGGAAGGGATTCAGTGGCCAAGGACCGCACCCAGCCTCGTGGACAGGACACCGAGGTCTCGCTTCGACTCTGCTCTCTGCGCCGCCTGGAGGCAGCGGATGGAACTGGGGCTCTTCCGCTACCGCCTTGGGGAGCTGCAGACGCGGACCCTCCCTGGTGTAGTGGGTTTTGTGGCTCAGCTGAATGTGGAGCGAGGTATGCAGAGGAGGCGCCCCCAGAACATCCGGAGTGTGAAGCAGGCATTTGACCCCAAACAGTTTAACTTCAACAAGATCCAGCCAGGAGAAGTCCTCTTCCGTTTGCTCCGGGAGCCCAATCTCCCAGGTGCTCTCCAGCAAGAGGACATCCTCGTCATGATCAATGTCAGCCCCTTGGAGTGGGGCCACGTGCTGCTGGTGCCCGAGCCCACCCGGGGGCTCCCCCAGCGCCTGCTGCCAGGCGCACTGCGGGCCGGCGTGGAGGCTGTGCTGCTGAGCTCACACCCGGGCTTCCGCGTCGGCTTCAACAGCCTGGGTGGCTTGGCCTCGGTGAACCACCTACACCTGCATGGGTATTACCTGGCTCACAGACTGCCCGTGGAGGGGGCACCGAGCGAGCCCCTGGACCTTGGGGGCCGTTTGCACCTGCTCCGGGCCCTCCCCGCTCCCGGCTTCCTCTTCTACACAAGCGGGCCGGGGCCTGACTTGGAAGCCCTCGTAGGCAGGGTATGTCAGGCCACTGACTACCTGACGGACCATGAGATTGCCCATAATTTGTTTGTGACCCGGGGGGCCCCACCTGGAAAGACATCACCATCCTCCGCTCTCACAGGCATCCGAGTAATTCTATGGGCCCGGAAGCCCAGCTTCGGGGTAAAGGAAGGCGAGGCGTTCAATGTCGCCCTCTGTGAGCTGGCCGGGCACCTCCCCATCAAAACGTCCCAAGATTTCGGCAGTCTGACGGAGGCGGCTGCTCTGGCCCTCATTCGAGACTGTCTGCTGCCCCCAGCTCAGGCGGAAGAAGTACAGGCAGCGCTGGTGGCCTTGATTGCCCAGGATGAACAGTAATCCTTCTAGAAGTATGTATTTTCTACCCGGTCTAAGTCCCTCTCCAGAAAGCTGTCCACAGTGGTCGCTTGGGGTTCCATGGCTGCTGCCTTACCCGCTTACCCCCAGGGGGAGGGGTAAAGAACTATTAAGTGGTCTCTGTAAAGAGAAGAAACCTTAGAATAAATTGAATGATTGCACCGTCATGAATGTATCTGCTTCTCATTTTTCTTCTTAGGCAAGCTTCAGGGATGTCAAACCTGTTACTAGGGAGGAAGTATGGGGGCGACTGGGTGGCTCAGTCCATGAGGCGCCCAGACTCTTGATTTCAGCTCAGGTCACGATCTGGGTTGTGCGATCCAGCCCCGCATCGGGCCCAGTGCAGAGTCTGCTTGAGGTTCTCTCCCTCTGCCCATCACTCCCCACCACATATGCACACTTGTGTTCTCTCTCTCTGAAATAAAATCTGTTTAGAAAATAAACAAATAGAGCATGCACAAGAGTTACATATCCTGGGATGCCTGGGTGGCTAAGTCAATTGAGCGTCTGCCTTCGGCTCAGGCCGAAGGGTCCTAGGATCAAGCCCCACATCAGGTTCCCTGCTCTGAGAGAAGCCTGCTTCTCTCCCTCCCACTCCCCCTGCTGGTGGTCTCTGTTCTCGCTGTCTCTCTCTCTGAAATAAATTAATAGAATCTTAAAAAAAAGTTACATATTCCTGACGATATATATAGACTTTTCCTTTCATATCAAGTCTTGGCAAAGTGATAGTTAAAGTGCCTCAGGCATTGTGTCCCCGCTTCCTCTGCCCTCGCCTCTGCAGTTCTCCCTTCTTGAGCCATCAGTGACCATTTCTTCATCCCTCCCCTCCGCTGGGTCTTGCTCCCCCATAGCCCCTACTTAGAGCACCTTTCCCCGGCCCGGCCAGCCTTGAATTTCCCTCCAGCCCCCAGCACGGAGTTGAGTGTTCCTCACGCACGTCACCTTATGTGAGAAAAGGCATCTTCACAACTTGAGTACCGTCGTATAATGAGGAGAGGCTGGCAGAGTGGAGGCAACTTGTCTGAGCCCGTACAGCTCACACGCGGCGGGGTCAGGACCGCAGCACCGGTGGTCTGCTGCCAGAAGCTGCCTCTCTAGGCATCGGCTCGGCTCACTTGGTAGTGGTGGTGTCCTTAACAGCTGATGAGCCCTGAGCTGAGGTTCAGGTTCCTGCGTAGCTGGCTTTCTCCATCCTGGCCTCATCTGAAGTTTTTTGGTTTTGTTTTTTTTTTTAATTTATTTGACAGACAGAGATCACAAGTAGGCAGAGAAGCAGGCAGAGAGAGAGAGAGGAAGGGAAGCAGGCTCCCTGCTGAGCAGAGAGCCCCATGTGGGGCTCAATCCCAGGACCCTGAGACCATGACCTGAGCCAAAGGCAGAGGCTTAACCCAGTGAGCCACCCAGGCGCCCCTTGTCTGAAGTTTTTATATAGACTTTTAGAGTTTTATATCCCAGAAGATGTTACAAGGTCCCACTGAGTTAAGGCAGAATATGTACCACCAAAAAAAAAGTTTATAAGAAAAGTTTAATATTTACATTTAAATGTTATATATTTGACATTTAAATTCCTATTATAAAAAACTTGGGGTCGACCTCCTCTTTCTGGCACTTCGCAGTAATTTTAGCTTATGTTCCTTTCTGTGAGCCTTTGCATATACAAGCTCTGCTAACATCACTTTGTTTTGCTCCCTCAGTCTGAAGGAAGTGCAAATAACTGTTACAGCAAAGTGGACTTTATGTCCCAGGTGATGAGCCCAAATACCAGGTTTTTACCCCAGGACTGCTGTTCAGAGGAAAGCCTTCTCTGGCCAAACTAAGTTTTTCCATAAGATGGGGTGGGCGTGGGGGAGCAGTTAGGTTTTCTTTATGGTGGTACTTCTCAGCTGTTTATATAGCTCGTGAATTGTCAAGAAGGGGATTTAGAAGCTTTTCCTAAGCTTAAGTGTGGAACACTTAGGGGACCCTCCATACTCCCCTTCGAGCACCCTAGAAAGATAGGAAGGCGTGATCCAGCCCAGCGCCCCTCCACCTCTGCTTGCTTTTTGGTAGAGGGCCTATGTAACCAAGGGGTTTGGGATTTGATCTAATGGGAAACCCTGAAGAGTTTTAAATTGGGGAGTATCCAATTTGCATTAGAAAGAATACTTAAGGGCGCCTGGGTGGCTCAGTTGGTTAAGCATTTGCCTTCAGCTCAGGTCATGATCCCAGGACCCTGGGATCGAGTCCCATATGGGGCTCCTTGCTCAAAAGGGAGCCTGCCTCTCCCTCTTTGCCTGGCTCATGCTCTCTCTCTTTCTCTCTCTCTCTCAAATAAATAAATATAATCTTTAAAAAAAAAGAAAAAAAAATACTGAAGATGTAATGGATGGGTGTAAAGGAGGGAAGAACAACCAGAGAGTCCATTTAAGAGGTTGCTGTGTGGTGGCAAATTCAGGCAAGAATTGGTGATGGTTCAGGTCCAGAATAGTGCCTGGGACCCAAAATATTTGGGCAAAAAAATGAGAAAAGTGATAGTCCTGGAAGGCAAGGGACTCCAAAGCATTTCAAGAAGAGAGTAACAATATATGCTGAAGAAACATGAATCAAAGAATGTCCACATCTTTTTTAAAGGAGGGAGGTTTTAGGGTTTTTTGTTTGTTTGTTTGTTTGTTTGTTTTAAAGATTTTATTTATTTGAGAGAAAGAATGAGAGAGATAGAGCACGAGATGGGGAAGGTCAGAGGGAGAAGAAGCCTCACTGCTGAGTAGGGAGCCCGAGGCAGGACACCATCCTACAACTCCAGAATCACGACCTGAGCTGAAAACAGTCGCTTAACCAACTGAGTCACTCAGGCGCCCAAGAAGGGAGTTTCTAAAGCGTCCTCTAGATTTAGGCACACGGGGTAGTCTAGAATGACAGGTTGGACTGAGTTCGGTGGAGGTGGCCACCAGAAGTCAGAGTGTAGGGACACGCATAGGAGGAGCGGTGAAGGAGCTCTGTGATGAGGCCCATTTGTTACTCAGCACAGCAGGGTGCGCGCTGTTCACCGCTGTCCCTGCCCAGCGCGGACGCGCTTCAACACAGGTCACTAAAACACTGAAGGCAGGCGAGCAGGTACTTGTCCCGAAGGCAGACTTGGCCAAATTCCGGACTCGCCCCCCGGGTTCGAGATAGGATAGGATGAGACGTATGTGAAGCGGCGAGAAAGCGGAAGGGCTTCAAGTCCCAGCTGATGCCCCAGACAGCGGCCGCAGCGGGGACCGCTGAGCCACCACCGCCAGCCCGCAGGGCACGCGCGTCCGCCGGGTGCGCAAGATGGCCTCGGCCCGCGCCCGAGTGGGTGTGGTTCTGGGGAAGCCCCGCCCCCAGAACGCTTCTCCAATGGGGGCCGCCCTCGTGTCCATGGCGACGGCGGCGGCGGCGGCGGCTGCTGGCTTGCTGTAGGAGGCGCCGCCGCCGCCGGGACCTCTGAGCTAGGAGCGAACCCCGGAAGGGGGGGGCGGGCTCCCCCTCGCGATCGGCGGGGACAGCCAGTCCTGTGGAAGAAGGAGGGGGTCCCGGACGCCCAGCGACGCCCGGGAAGGAGCAGGAGCCGGGCGAAGGGTGGACATGAGCGACCACCTGAGTCCAGTCTCGGACCGCTAGGGGCGGACCCAGCAGCCCCCACCCCCTCCTCGGAATCTCGGGTGGGCAGTGTCCGCCAGGGGCTCCTCCTCCGCCAGCAGAGCCCAAGGGGTCTTAGCCGTCAAGTGCCAGGGTGTACACATGGAGAAACTGAATCGTGGGGACAGGGAAAGGGCCTGCTTAGGCGACCTTTGGTTTTCAGTTCCATTTTAAAATCGAAGGTCCCCCAAGAGCCCAGCCATCCCCTCCTTCCCATTCAGGAATAAAAAAGTCATGGTCATTGTCCCTGCCAGCTCTGTCCAGCTTCTATGTGCACCCCAGCGTGCGGTATGCAGGGGTGATCTTGGATAATCAGGACTTGTCAGGGAAGCCAACATTTCACAGGCATTCCCCTGCTCCCATTACCTACGTGGAAACCATCCCCTTCTGCAGTGGGATTGTTCTGTAGGGGCGGCAACGTTCCCTGTAACACCATGAAGGAGATCATTTGCGTGGACTCCCGCAGGCCTTCCTGGACCTGGAGGAAGGAAGATCGGACACATATTTCACTCTCACCCCTCTCCCCTCAGAACCTAAGAGGATGGAGCCAAATACCTGTAAGACCAGTGAATCGGAGGAAGACTACGTTGAGGAAGAGGAATCCGAGGAGGAGTGTGTTCGAGAAGCTACCCTCCCTTCTGACTCTCCTCAGCAGGAACTCTCAAAGGCTGACTATAAGGAATTTGGGGATGGAGTGTCCTTATCTATTGTAGCCAAGAAAATCCCAAAGAAAATCATAGCCCCAGCTGACTCAGATGACTTAGAAGTCGGCAGGAGAAAGAGAAGGCGGAAACGCAGGTAACAGACAGGTGCCTGGGTCCCCTCACCTGCCTGGATGCAGGAGAGAGTCACCCCTTGGCCTCCCTTCAGCAGTTGCGGAGGGAGGGCGGGGTCTTCCCTTTCATCTGCAAAAGAGGACAGGCAGTACAGGAACATCGTTAACCTTTTGGTACTACAAAAACACAAAATTCAGAACCATTTGAGCTGGCTTGGTTTGCATTTTCAGCCCATTTCTATCATCCTGGTCTTCAAGTGGCTTTTAGAGACAATGAATTGCATTGTAGATGTGTCGGGTACCTGGAAGCCCCGGGTCTGTCCTTTATCCCACTCTGCCTGATTTCTACTATTCCTCCCTTCCAGACCCCTGGCCATCAACTTGACCAACTGCAAGTATGAGAGCGGTAAGCACCCAGCTCGCTCACACATCACTGTCCATAGGAGGGCACCTGCAGCTTTCACTCTCGGGATGGTCCCCAGTCAGGCTCCCAGCCCCTGCATCTTGTTTGGCTGGCCTATAGCCAGTACTCAGGTACTAGCAGCTGAGACATCACTGTTCTAGTGGTAGTGGAAATCCCGCTGTTATCCAGAAAACGACTGAAGGTCACTATTGCTCTCCCCTTCCCAGATTTTACCATAATTGACATGAGAACAGGTCAATATGGTTGTGGTCCCCTCCCCCAAGGAAGCCCTTGAGGGGGCTTGAGGAATTAAAAGAAAAAAATCGACAGCTAGGTCAGCTATCTTTTCATCTCCTCCTGTGTCCACTGCCATCTGGGCCAGGGGCCACCCTGTGTGGGAGGTGCCAGTGTGACCCCTCTGGAGGGTCGGCTCTGCAGGTCAGAAACCACCCCAATTGAGAGAGAGAAGACTCAGGAGCAGAGAGCCAGGCTCTAGTTTTCTCTGTCACGGATTCTGGAAGGGCCCTGACAGCCTCATGAACTTGGAATTGTCACGTGGTAATTAAGCTGTAGCACTGGAGGTAAGAGCCACAACCCACTCTGTGGTCTGTTCCTTATCGGACCCACTCTGTGGTCTGTTCCTTATCGGACCCAGCTACAATCCCCAGGCTTGCTGCCAGTGTCCCGGCTGGCACCACTGACCTCCCTCTCTCCACAGTGCGTCGGGCAGCCCAAATGTGTGGCCTGAAGGAGGTGGGGGAGGACGAGGAATGGACTGTGTACTGGACAGACTGCTCTGTCTCACTGGAACGAGTCATGGACATGAAGAGGTTTCAGGTACAACCTCTGGACCCGAGTCTAAAAGGGGCCATGGTCCCTGAATGAGTCCTCTCCCCGTTCTGCTCGGGCAGCTGCAGCTGCCACCGTCTGTGGCTGTCTCCCTGGGCAGAGTGGGAAAGGCCATGGCCAGGGCTTCTGCTCCCCTGGAAAAATTCTCCTCTTGGGTTTCTGGAACTTCTAGTATAGGAAGGAAGGATCTGCTGGGCACTATTTGCCTGGAGGCATCTGTCCCCACCTGGCGCCCTTGAGGGCAGGTGAGCCCACCTAAGGGGAAGGCAGCTTCATTGCTCACAGCCAGGCGGGCAGAGTGATCGGCTTCTAAGCAGCTTATCCGAGCATCGGCATCCGCTGAGTCAGTGCGGGCCCCTGAACGGTAGCAAGGAAGTCAGGAAGGATGCGTCCCCCAAAAGATCATAGCCTCTTTGTGGCATTGTTGTTATCCTCTAATTGGGTCTTTTTTTTTTTAAGATTTTATTTTTTTAAAGATTTTATTTATCTGACAGAGAGAGAGATCACAAGTAGGCAGAGAGACAGGCAGAGAGAGGGGGGAAGCAGGCTCCCCGCTGAGCAGAGAGCCCAATGCGGGGCTCTATCCCAGGACCCTGAGCTCATGACCTGAGCCGAAGGCAGAGGCCCAATCCACCGAGCCACCCAGGCGCCCCTTAAGATTTTATTTTTAAGTTAATCCCTATACTCAACACGGGGCTTGAACTCAGAACCCAGAGAGCAAGAGTCACACACTCCACCGACTAAGCCAGACCTCTAATGGGGTCTTTGTGGTGGTTAGCAACTCCAGAATTTAGAAAGGTCTGCAGGCTTAGTTTGAGGGGAAGCCAGGAAGGGAGTGGAGGAGATTGTAACTGGTCCTACAAGTCACGGGAGAAGAGCCCGAGAGAGAGAGAGAGAGAGAGAGAGAGAACTGGAAGTGCTTGAGGAGCCCCAAAGAAGAGTCAAGTAGGAAGCAGTTGGAAGATGAGCAAAACAACATGAACAACATTCCTTGGGGGTATTAAGTGCTTTTACACTCTTCCCTCATTAAATCCTCAAAACCAACCCTGAGTGGCAGACACCCTTTTGTTAAGAGGACACCAAGGCTCATAAACACGAAGTTCCTGCAGCGGATGAGTGGTAAAGCCAGTGAGACAGCCCAGAACCGACGCGAGATGCTGCCTCCTGGCTCTGGGGTTCCAACAGGCGCCCTGGCAATGCCAGATTCTGGGGGCGCCGCGGCAGGACATTCCTGGGACTGCGCAGCTTCCTTTGATCTTTTGGAAAAAGGTTTCTCATTTGCTTGTACTCCCATGCACCAATTCTTATAGGACGCATCTCCAGTGCTCTGGGGGGTGTTATAAGGCAGCTAGAAAGCCCAGAGTCCTGGTGAATCCTTCTTGCTGCCCCTCATTTCCCAACCTCAACGCTCTCGGGATGGTCCCCAGTCAGGCTCCCAGCCCCTGCATCTTGTTTGGCTGGCCTATAGCCAGTACTCAGCACCCTTCACCTTGGAGATGTATTGCTGGCAGATCATATGCTCTCCCGGCTTGATCTCCCGGGGGTTTCGGGTAATGAAGATGCCTCGTCCCTGGCAACCGCTGTCCGGTGTGGACTTGTGTTTTGGGAGAGGCCAAGGAGGAGGTTCTCACTTGCTTTAGGGAACCTTCCTTTTCTCCCTTAGGGTATTGGGTACAGGGATTACCCCCACTGTGACTTTTTTTTTTAAGGTTTTATTTATTTGAGAGCAAGAGAGCACACAAGCAGAGGGGAGGAGCAGGGGGAGAGGGAGAATCAGGTTTCCTGCTGAGTGGGGAGCCTGACACAGGGCTCAATCCCAGGACCCGAGATTATGATGTGAGCTGAAGGCAGATGCTTAACTAACTTAGACACTGAGGCGCACCCCACCACACTTAAGACAGAGAAAGAGAGAGAGTGCGTGCATGTGTTTGTGGGTAGGGGTGAGGAGCAGAGGGAGAGTGAAAGAATCTTAAGCAGCCTCCACGCCCAGCACGGAGCCCAATGAGGGGCTCAATCTCAGGACCCTAAGATCATGACCCGAGCTGAAATCAAGTCAGACACCTAACTCACTGAGCCACCCAGGCACCTTGTCCACTGTGACTTCTACCTTGACCTTCCCAGTCCTCCTGGCATGCCCAAGGCCCCAGGGACCGCTGCTTGCTTCGCTGGCGGGGGTCATTAACCAACTGACTCTGTTTCAGAAAATCAATCACTTCCCTGGCATGACCGAAATCTGCCGCAAAGATCTGCTGGCTCGGAACCTCAACCGCATGCAGAAACTCTATCCTACGGAGTACAACATCTTCCCCCGCACCTGGTGTCTCCCTGCAGAGTGAGTGACACCCCCCCCCACCGCCACTGCCCAGGCTCATGTCCTCGAGTAGGAAAGGTTTCACCATCTCAGTTCCCTCCAGACTCTGGCCTTGTGACCTAGAAAGTCTCAAGGGATGAGACCAGCTGAAACTCTCATACCTTGAGACTTTCAGCTGGTCTAAGAAAAGAAGGTCTAAGACAGATGCTCCAGGAAGAGCATGGATGGGAGCAGAGCTCCGTGGGGCCTGGCTCAGCTGTGATGCACAGAGTCCTTCTTTTTTTTTTTTTTTAAGATTTTATGTCTTTATTTGACAGACAGAGATCACAAGTAGGCAGAGAGGCAGGCAGAGAGAGAGAGGAGGAAGCAGGCTCCCCGATGGGCTCTATCCCAGATCCCTGGGACCATGGCCTGAGCCGAAGGCAGAGGCTTTAATCCACTGAGCCACCCAGGTGCCCCGCACAGAACCCTTCTGACCAGCCTCTCTCTGCACGTAGCTTTGGGGACTTCCAGTCCTATGGCCGTCAGCGAAAAACCCGCACCTATATCTGCAAACCGGACAGCGGTTGCCAGGGACGAGGCATCTTCATTACCCGAAACCCCCGGGAGATCAAGCCGGGAGAGCATATGATCTGCCAGCAATACATCTCCAAGGTGAAGGATGCCTCGGGACCACCGGGGCCCTCCCCGAGCCCTGGGGTGCCTCCTCTCTCCCAGTGCCATTAGCTCCTACCCTTCCTGCTGCTTCCCCTCACCTCAGAGGCATCCCAGAGTCATGCTTCAGAGCAAGCCTTTCTGGGTCTGAATCTGAGTTTTCCCACTTCTTAAATGTGTGATCTTGGGCCATTTCTTACTCTTTCTGTGCCTTAGTTTCTTCATCTGTTGAATGGGAGTATTAACTGTAACTATTTTATGCTTCATACTGTTATTATGAAAATTAAATGAGGTATTCTGATTTGAAACACTTACAACAGTGCATGGGATAGAATGAGCACTTCAAAGATTTTCTTCCCCGGTGGGTGTGCGTGCTTTCAGCCCTTCCTCATTGACGGCTTCAAGTTTGATATGCGGATCTATGTCCTGATTACGTCCTGTGACCCTCTTCGGATCTTCATGTATGAGGAGGGCCTGGCCCGCTTTGCCACTATGCCCTACGTGGAGCCCAGCCACAGCAACCTGGTAAGGGGCCAGCTGGCAGCCCTGGGGGGGCAGGGCAGCGCCCTCCTCTCATGAGCACTGAGGTTCCATGGAGAAACCAAGTAGAGAGGCTTGTCATTGTCACCCGTGAACCCTGGCACCTGGCTGGGAGGAGAGCATCTGGAGGGTGGTGAGTGCTACGAGGTCCTTCCTGGAGGAGCCTGGCCTACCCCTTTCCCCAGGAGCTTACCGGACAGTTCGTAGGTGAAGACAGACAGGAGATGAGCTGTCCTGGGGAGGGATGGGTGATCAAAAGGCAATAAAGGGCTAGAGAGGGTGCTGGAGGGAAGCAGTCTGAGCCACGGGACCGCTCTCTTCCCAGGATGACGTCTGCATGCACCTGACCAACTACGCTATCAACAAACACAATGAGAATTTTGTCCGGGATGATGCTATGGGCAGTAAGAGGTACTCCCTACTCTGATGGCTCTTCAGCTTATGGTCTCAGCAGCCCAAAAACTGAGCCGGCTCTTGGAAGGCCAAATGCTCAGGAAAACCATCTTTATAGACCCCTGTCCTGTGCCTGACCTCTAAGTGCAGCCCCACCCCCCCACCCTGATCAGTAAGCCCCGCTCCACGCTCCCATGCAGGCACCCAGAAGTAGGGGTAGTGGTAGGGACCATCCTGCCTGCGGCCCAGATCCACTGGTGTAGAAATGGGTGGTCCTCTGAGCACTGGGCCTCGCAGGAAGCTGTCCACACTCAATGCCTGGCTGCGAGAACACGGCTACGACCCCGGAGAGCTGTGGGGGGACATAGAGGACATCATCATCAAAACCATCATCTCAGCCCATTCTGTTCTTCGCCACAACTACCGAACCTGTTTTCCCCAATATCTGAGCGGAGGTACATGTGCCTGTTTTGAGATCCTTGGTTTTGACATCTTGCTGGACCACAGGCTGAAGCCCTGGCTGCTGGAGGTGAGGAATGTCTTTTGGGCTTTGCAGAACCAAGGTCCAGAGGCCGCCCTGAACGGGATGCCTGGCACATACATGCACTCAGTTGGTGGAAGAGAGAATGGGGGACGTGGTGGCACTGGGGTGGGGATGTAGATCTCTCCGCTTTTGACCCGATGAGTCAAATCTGAGTGGTCTCTGGCCACTGGTCCAGGATTTGAATCCCAAGTGTTCCTCATATAATCTTTGTCTTTTGGGACACTGTATCTATAGAATCAGGCTGTCTGGGTATCAGAGGGATCTCCGTGGCACAGTCCTGTGGCCTTGGGAGTCAGAAACACCCCGCCTCCTTGGCTGAGGCCTTTGCAGGGGGAGATGTCTTGACTATACCCTCAGTCAGGTCTCCAGGAGACCACGCCTGCTTGGGTGATGTGGGAACGGGGTGGATAAGGACTCCTCCTGGCAGGTAAACCATTCTCCAAGCTTCACCACCGACTCCCGCCTTGATCGAGAAGTGAAGGATGCACTTCTCTGCGATGCCATGACCCTTGTCAACCTCCGAGGCTGTGACAAAAGGAAGGTGATGGAGGAGGACAAGCGGCGAGTCAAGGAGCGGCTTTTCCAGTACCATCAGCAGCCACGGGAAGCAAGGTGCTCCAGGTGTCTGAGCTGTCTTGTTACCACTGGCCTGGGCGTACGAGTGCTTCTTTAGGTGGGGAAGGTGGTCTAGGGCTGATAGGCTACAAAGAATAACTTTTTTCTGCAGAGATAATATGTTCAAAATTCAAAAGATACTGTGAATAATCTCTTAATTCTTCTTCAGCTACTGTATCCCCCCAGACGAGCCAATCTCTGTTCCTTGGGTCACGTGTATACTTGGATAAATATTTAATGCATACATACCTACACACACACACACACACACACACACACACACACACATTGTTCTCCTCCCTTTACCCAGACAATAATGTAACTTTCACATTCTCTGTCCCATGCGTAGCAGTGTCATTTGGAGCTATTTCCTGTTAGCACATAAGGAGCTTTATGTGGTCTGATGAGCTGTTTGTTCTTGCTTTTTTTTTTTTTTTAACAAAGCTCCTCTAGAAAGTTTATCATGAAACAGAAAACAGTCTAGTCATTCCATAATAAGGGATTGTTGAAATCGGTCTTTTTCACCCACTGTTGCTTTCATTATAAGATGGGTTACAAACATGGCGATTTGTTGCTGATACTAAATTATAATGTTAATAATACATATGAATGAGGGGCTCCTGGGTGGCTCAGTGGGTTAAAGCCTCTGCCTTTGGCTCAGGTCATGATCTCAGGGTCCTGGGATCGAGCCCCGCATCGGGCTCTCTGCTCAGCAGAGAGCCTGCTTCCCTCTTTCTCTCTCTCTGCCTGCCTCTCTGCCTACTTGTGATCTGTCAAATAAATAAATAAAATCTTAAAAAAAATACATAAGAATGAATTGGAGTAGGTTTAGAATTATTCCCATAACAACATCACTCTTCACCACCTGCTTCGCAATAGGCGGGGCCAGTGTGTATTTGATCTGTCATGATATCCTGAGGGCCTGGAACATGTAGGCACTCAAATGTGTGAACAGAGGGAAGTAGAACTATAAATACAGTGCGTATTCCCACAGCCGGACATGACTGTAGGAATTGTGTCCTTCAGTGGGGAAAAGGGCTGAAAACTACTGGACTTTTTTTTTTTTTTAAGATTTTTATTTATTTATTTGACAGGTAGAGATTACAAGTAGGCAGAGAGGCAGGCAGAGACAGAGAGGAGGAAGCAGGCTCTCTGCTGAGCAGAGAGCCTGATGTGGGGCTTGATCCCAGGACCCTGGGATCATGACCTGAGCCGAAGGCAGAGGCTTTAACCCCCTGAGCCACCTAGGCGCCCCAACTACTGGACTTATTAAGCAAACATACAGCAGGGCCTGGCCAGCTCAGTGGGTAGAGTGTGTGACTCTTGTTCTCAGGGTTTTGAGTTAGTGCCTCAGGTTGGGTGTAGAGATTACTTAAAAATAAAATCTTGGGTGCCTGGGGGGCTCAGTCAGTTAAGCATCTGCCTTCAGCTCAGGTCATGATCTCAGAGCCCAGAATCGAGCCCCACATCAGGCTCCCTGCTCGTTGGGAAGCCTGCTTCTCCCACTCCCCCTAACTGTGTTCCTGCTCTTACTATCCCTCTGTCAAATAAATAAATAAAAATAAACAAACAAAATCTTAAAAAAAAATAAGGAACAAAAGTACAATCATAGAGTCACTTGAATACTAGGCAACCATTAAAAAATGTTGCTGTATGATCCCGTTTTTGTCTGAAAGAAGAAAGGAAGGGAGGATTAAAGAAAGAGCAAGGTAGTTAGGAGCAAAGCTAGGATTCAGACTCGGGGGTCCTGTCCGAGTCCATGCTCATAACCAATATGCTAATTGCACAGTAAGATTATGGGACATTTGGTCTTTTTGTGCTTCTGCATTTTCTGTAATTAACATAGATTATAATCAGAAACCCCAAAAGATGGTGATAACTTGGGAGTGCTAGCATATGAGGAGACCCCTTTGCACTTAAGATGAAAACCAGATTTCTGGGGCACCCGGGTGGCTCAGTCATTAAGCGTCTACCTTCAGCTCCGGTCATGATCCTAGCATCCTGGGATTGAGCCCCTCATCGGGCTCCCTGCTCGGCGGGGAGTCTGCTTCTCCCTCTCCCACTCCCCATGCTTGTGTTCCCTCTCTCACTGTGTCTCTCTCTGTCAAATAAATAAAATCTTCAAAGAAAGAAAGAAAGAAAGAGAAAGAGGGAGGAAGGAAGGAAACAAACCAGATTTCTGGAAGTCAAGCCTCTGTTTTCATGGCTACACACAGGTGGCATTGGCCAGATGGCCTTGGCAGCTTTCCCTACGTGGGCCATGGACAGAAAGGCTGTGAAGCTTGTGGGAGATCCTCAAAGCTTTGGCTAGCCTTCTTTCCCCCACTGCACATTCTCACAGTCCTCCTGACTCACTCTGAGCCTGGTTTCCGTAGGCGAGAACAAATTGAGTCATCCCATGCTGCAGTACTAGACCAGGAACGCTATGAGGATTCCCACCTCGGGGGATACCGGCGGATCTACCCTGGGCCCCACACGGAGAAGTACGCACCTTTCTTCAAGCACAATGGCTCCCTCTTCCAGGAGACTGCTGCTTCCAAGGCCAGAGAGGAGTGTGCCAGGTACTTTGCCTTGCATTCTCCTCTGTCCACTTGAGCGGAGCTTATCCTGAAGCTGAATTGCGCCCCAGCAGGGCAGAGAGGAAGCCGGACACTTGAGCAAAGAGGAATGGCGTCTTATGTCCTATGACTCTTAGTGACTCCGTTTCCCTTTAGAAGGCTTCCCGTCTTCCTCCTCATTCTTCTCCTGTCCCCCCCCACTCTCCCATACCCTGTCTCCCTCACCCTGCTTCTCCCCAGTACACTTTCTCCAGTGTCTGAAGCTTCTGTGTCTTGTCAGGCAGCAACTGGAAGAGATCCGCCTTAAGCAGGAACAGCAGGAGAACTCAGGCAGTAAGAGGCGAAAGGAAAACAGGGACCAGAACCAGGGTGAATCAGCAGGGGAGAAGAGCCGATCCAGGGCCGGGCTCCAGGGACTTTCCACCCACTTGGCTTATAGGAACCGGACCCGGGAGAAAGAGGTGTCAAGGGTTTGGTAGCAGGAGATGGGTTGGGACTCCTAGAGAAGGGAATCTTTGCTGTCCTCTCCTCCTCTTGTATAAGGGAGTGAGGAGTTCCTAATGAGTACATTGGATCTGACCTGGTGGACCAGGAGGTGAGAGAATGGATAGCAAAGGGCACCTTCCACTAGGGTCAGGGAAGGGAATGGGGCGGGGGAGTGGAGTGGGCAGGAGTCCCCCAGCCATGATGGTGTGGGTCTCCCCCTTGGAGATCTTGAACTCATCTCTCATGTACTTTACAGCTGCTGCCCGCACGCCTGGATACCATGCATCCTCAAGAGATTGTGGAAGAGGAGGAGCTCGAGCGCATGAAGGCCCTGATCCAGAGGGAGAACCTCATCCGAAGCCTGGGTATTGTAGAGCAGCTCACCCGCATGCTGCACCCCAGCCGCCAGGGCCAGAAAAAACTTCATGAGTACCTGGTGAGGGTCCCTACGCAGCCTCTCACAGAACACGGGAAAACGGGCTGCAGCAGCACACAGTGGTGGTCACAGCACAGGCGGCTAATGTGATGGTATCTGGCACGCAGCCCGGGAGAGCAGAGTATGCTGGGTGTTGGGAAAGGGTCTCTTGGTTCCTTCTGCATTTGTTCCCCGGCTCCCTTGTTTGTGGTAATGACGTCTGGCCCAGTGCAGCTCCCACCCTTCTCCTAAGAAACCTGTTCTCTATGTTCCAGTCTTGCAATAACCCCAAACTCATGACTGACAAAGAACAAGGCCACCACCCTCAGTGGCTTCTGTGTAATCTCTCCCTAGCACTGCCAGTAACACGGCTCTAACGGGCGATAAGTAAACAGACTTGGGCCAACAGAACAGCTGCCGCATTCACTATTCCCTGGGCTAGTAGCAAGCCTACTGAGTCCTCAGTTTTGGCTGGGCCCCAAAGGAGTTAAGGGGTTAAATAGTGGCCACAGTCTAGAAGAGATGTTTCAGTCACCTATCTGCTCACACCGTTCCATCCAGCCTCAAAAGAAATGTAAGGGGCTGCTCTTCTCCTCTAGCCTAGATGCCACCAGGACGGGCTGTGCAGTCAGAAACTGCAATCTGTGAGTCTGGTCCCATTGGTCCTCCTGAGAAGGGCCGCAAAAGAGCAGGGCCCTCCTCCTTTCCTGCATCCAGTCCGGGCCCACGAATTGGTCCCCAGGATCTTAGGGCCACTGCCAACCATGAATGCTGCCATTCCACATCATTCCTGGTGCCACCTACAGCCCAAGAACTTCAACTGGATAGGAGATCCAGCAGCCATCAGCCCCTGTTCATTGTCAATGAAGACATCTGGAAGGCGCTATTTTTCCAGTGCCAGAGTCAGGCTCACTAGCCGTAAGTATACAATACCAGCTTTGGTCACTCTGACTTGGGTAAATTCCCAGTAGCAAACATTACAGCTGGGATGTTCCCAAAATATAACATGGCACTTCCACCAGTGTGGGAGTGGGACAGGTAGTGGGTCCTGGTAGAAATGGCAGAAGTACAGCCCCAGCACTCAACAAACCTAACAGGAAAACCGACAAGTAAACACACAATTACAATGCAGCGTGGTATAGATACTGGAGGGAAGCATGGGATGCCATTCCTCTGTGTTGGTAACGGGGCAACAGGTGGTAAAGAGGTGAGGAATCTCCTGTGAATACCAACTCAGGGGACCCATGTTTCCACTGCAGAAGGCCAAGCCAACAGAAGGCTAGAAGCCATAAACAGAGCCCTGGCAGGATCAGTGTCATCCACTTTAACCCCAAAGCAAGGCTATCTTCTGCAGCCAGAAAGAGTGGAAAGTGGCTCATGGACTGATTGTGCCTGCCCTCCGCGGTAGACTCTGAACACAGAGCACCCAAAGCCCGTGATCTCACTCTCTGCCCTGCCTCTGCACCCCTGATGCTGCAGACCACTGCCCTCCTTGACCTCAGCCACCACCGGTTAACGCAGGATGCAAGCCCAGCACTCGACCTCTTCTGGAGAGGCCCCTCAGGTTTCCAAGGGGCGGAGGGCCTTCAATCTTTGCTAAATGAAAGACTGCCACCAAGCTTCAGTTTGAAAAGCCCTGGCCAGGAACCCTGTTTGCACAAGGCAAAACACAAAGACATCGAGAATTCCTCAATACCCTAAGATTATTTTCAGATCCGTAAAGACTAAAAGATGAAGAGGAGCTAGGGTCGGCCACGTACTCATCCCCGCCCTTCAAACCTTAGTCTGGATTTATAGCTAGGTGATGGGTCTGAACCCCGGGTGCGGCCCGGGGCTGGAAGTCATTCTGGCGACAAGAAGCCCCTTCCTTTCCCAGAGGAGCCGTGTGCCCAAGGCAGGGGTCTGTGGCCATCAGAGGACCGCCGAGGGGACGCCTTTAACGCCGTCGTGGCGGAGACAGGCCGGCCTGGGCAGCCCTTGGGGTGGAGGGGCGGCTCTTGGCAAATGAATCCGTCTTTTTATTAAAGTTTATGGCGTTTTGCAGGAGCGTCCTCTACGTCATTCTGGCCCTTGCATCTCAGGCTCAATACTCTCCACATTCACAGCGGGGAAGGGCGGGCAGCGCACGAGTTCAAGCCCGTCTCCCCGTCCTCCGCCGGAAGCGGGAGAGACTCGCGACCATCCCTGCTTCCGGCCCGCCCGTCCGCTTCCGGCCCGCCCGTCCACTCCCGCCCCCGCCCCTAGACTTCCGGTACTGCGCGTTTCCGGCTGCTGAAGACGTGGTGGTTGTCAACATGGCGGTTACTCTGAGCGTCTTGCTGGGCTTGCGTGTCCGTGCTGCTATCGCTCGCTGTGGGTTCGCGACCCGGGGGGTGGCAGACCCCGGCTCTCTCGGCCGCGAGCCGGACCCCGATTCCGACTGGGAGCCGGAGGAGCGGGAGCTGCAGGAGGTGGAGAGGTACCCGCTCCTTCCTGGGCCCTCAGCCTGAAGCGGGGCTTCGCGCCCCTGCGCTCCAGGCCGCGCCCGCTAGGAGCCGGGCGTGGTGCCGCCGCATCCGCCGCAGCTCTTGTTTCTTACCGGTTGTCAGGGGCGCAGGGGCGGGCGTGCGGCTCCTTTGGGACCACAGCTTGCTTCACCAGTGACGCATTTCATCACCCGTTTAGAAAGTTCGGCGTGCTTACGGGCTGTGTTAGGTGTTAGATTTCTGGGGAGGTGTATGGAGCAGGTCTGAGCCAACAACACACATGGCCTGGTTGCTCTTGCAAACAAAGAGAAGAGGGCTGGGTTCTTTGTGATGTAGTCCGAGGCTCTTCAGCCACCCATTTTGCTCCCACGCATGGCTTCTGCCATTGGTTCTCTCCCCCAGCACCCTGAGACGGCAGAAAAAAGCCGCCCGGTTCCAGAAAATTCGGAGGCAGATGGAGGCTCCGGGTGCTCCGCCCAGGACCCTGACGTGGAAAGCCATGGAACAGATCCGGTAAGACTCGCTGTAGTTGGGATCAGCTGTGACGAGAAGTGATGAATACGGGGGCCTAGAACGTTATTGTTGTATTTTACTTTTTTGATTTAAGATTTCTCAATGACAGAATAGGGTAACGAATTTCCCTAAGCTCGTCATCTAAATTTACCAGTCCTTAACATTAGTACACAGTTCCTTTTTGCTGACATTTTAAAAGCGTAGGCTAGGGGCGCCTGGGTGGCTCAGTGGGTTAAGCCACTGCCTTCGGCTCAGGTCATGATCTCAAGGTCCTGGGATCGAGTCCCGCATCAGGCTCTCTGCTCAGCGGGGAGCCTGCTTCCCTCTCTCTCTCTCTCTCTCTCTGCCTGCCTCTCTGTCTACTTGTGATCTCTCTCTGTCAAATCAATAAATATTTTAAAAAAAATAAAAATAAAAAAATAAAAGCGTAGGCTGGAGGACCTCACATCATTTAACCTCAGAATCGTAGATCGTGACCTTTCTAAGGTCAGGGATGGGGGCTTCCCTGGTTACGTAGGTTTTTCTGAAGAGAAAATCTGTATCTTAAAAGTCATAAAGCTCTTTTTTTAAATGTTGTTTGTTTTGAATAGACGGTACATTACATAAGGCTCAAAATTAGAACAGTGTAATGTGGTCTGTACATTGAAAAAAAAATTTTTTTTAAGATTTTATTTATTTATTTGACAGAGAGAAAGATAACAAGTAGGCAGAGAGGCAGGCAGAGAGAGAGGGGGAAGCAGGCTCCCTGCTGAACAGAGAGCCAGATGCGGGGCTCCGTCCCAGGACCCTGGGATCATGACCTGAGCCGAAGGCAGAGGCTTAACCCACTGAGCCACCCCAGGCGCCCCTACATTGAAAAGTTTTAATCCTGGGATGCCTCCCAGGGTCCTGGGGTCCAACCCCACATTGGGCTCCTTGCCCAGCGGGGAGCCTGCTTCTCCCCCGCCTGCCATTCCCCCTGCTTGTGCTTGCTCGCTCTCTCCCCCACCTCGTTCTGTGTGTCAAATAAATAAATACAGTCTTAAAAAACAGTTTTAATATCAGCCACTCTCCCATGGAACTATTTTTGTTTCTTTTTCCAGGGGTCCTTACGCAGATAGGAGTATGAATATAGATTTTTGTATTCATTTCCTTAATCACAAACAGAATACTGTAAATATTGTTCTACACTTTTCCTTTTGAACATATTTCTTTTCTTTTTCTTTTTTCCAAATAATTGTACACCCAACGCAGGGCTCAAACTCATAACCCCAGGGTCAGGAGTAGCATGCACGACTGATTGAGCCAGGCAGGAACCCCTTTTCAGATATTTCATAGACCTTTCCACTTAAGGACAGAAAGCTCTTTTTTGGAGAAATCCTAGTAAATCATAACCTTTTTTTTTTTTTAAATAAAGTAATCTCTATGCCCAGTCTGGGGCTCAAAAGCATGACCCTGAGATCAGGAGTTGCATGCTTTACTGACTAAGCCAGCCAGGAGCCCCAGCAATTCATAATTTAGTTAACTAGTCTTTCATGATGTGTATGTGGGTTGTTTGCACTGACTTGCTGTCACAAATCGTGCTCTTCTGAATAGATAGGGCATTCACATACCTGGCAGGTACATTTGTTGTGTACATTCCCCGAAGTAGAGTTGATAGGTACAAGGGCAAGTGGGTTTGTGTTTTGATGAATATTGCCAAGTAGGCTTCCATAAGTTCTCTGTCCTTTTTCATTCCTGTTAGAATGACTCTGAAGGTGACACTTAGAAGAAAGTAGATTTTGTAGAGCAAGGAGATTTTGTGGGCCTGTAGCACCTCTCATGTCATCCTCCTCTCCCCTCTTGAACAGCAGCTTTTCCATATCTTCCTGTAACCTCCTTTTCTGTGGTTAACAGCTGTCCTTTTACTTTATTTTTTTTTATTTCTTTTTAAAGATTTTATTTATTTGACAGAGATCACAAGTAGGCAGAGAGGCAGACAGAGAGAGGGGGAAGCAGGCTCCCTGCTGAGCAGAGAGCCCGATGCGGGGCTCGATCCCAGGACCCTGAGATCATGACCTGAGCCGAAGGCAGAGGCTTTAACCCACTGAGCCACCCAGGTGCCCCTAAGATTTTATTTTTAAGTAGTCTCTTACCAAGTGTGGGGATTGAACTCGCAACCCAACTGAGCCACCCAGGTGCCCCTATCCTTTTACTTTAACGAAAAACCTGACCATTAGTTAAGATCCTTTCAGAGCTTCTTGGACTTCCTCTTTATTTCCAGTTCTCAGTGTTTACAAACTGGGGGAAATGGTGGCCCTTTACTTGTCTGGGACCAATGCTTCTGCACTAGGTCATAGTTGTACCTAATTCCTCAGAGACCTCCCATCTGTCAGCTTCAGGTTCTCCCTCATCATTTTGTTCCCAAGCTCGCTCTCCCTGGGTACCTGTCCTTGTTTGGTCACAACAGTGAAACCATTGTGCACAAATCTTATCAGTGACTTCCTCACTGCTAGGGATTCCTGACGCTCTGGTCTCTTGCCTCTCCTATTCCTGCAGCATTTGCTCTTGCAGTGTATTTTCTTGAACTTCTCGTCTCCTTGAACTCAGGGTACTACTCACTTCTATTTCTAGGGCTGCTTTTCTCACTTTCCTTCTGCGTTTCCCTCATTCCTCCTGTATCTTAAATACTGCTATGTTTTAGAAATGTGTCCTTGGTCATTTTATCTCCACCTACTTCAATCACGTGGTTTCAACCACCCCTGCTCTTCACTTACGACTTCCGAATCTGTCCTCTCCAGTCCGTGGTTTCCTTCTAACCTGTATATATTCAACCGTGCCCTAGACTGTATCTCTTTGGACATCACACATGTTTTTCAAACTCAACATAAAAAAATAGCGAACTCAGAGTAACAAAATTTATCATTGTTCCCTGTTGACTTCATTTTGTTCCTGCTTTCACTCTACTCCTGAATGGTCCTGCCAGTCACTCAAGCTGAAAGCCTGAGTCTCTGCCTACGTCTACCCCTGATATTTAGTCCTTACCAAGTTCTACCATTTGGCCTTCTATAACAGTTCTCAGCTCTCTTCCTTTTTCTGGTTTCTTTGCACCTGCCACAGTTCAGACTGCCTGGATTTCCAGGACAGGCTCTTGACTGACTGACTTTTCCGGCTTTAGTCCTACCACTGAAAACTACCCCTGGATTGGCCTTCAGAATGAAAAGCTCCTTGTGGCATTCATTCCACTGCTTAAAATGCTTCCTGTACCTGCACACGGTTTGCCTTAGCTTGTGTGTCCCAAATTTCAGTTGTGCCATTTTTTTAATAAACCCACTTAAAAAAAAAAAAATCCTTCCTTGGTTCACTGTTGCTTTGGGTTAAACTCCATAAGCGTGACATGATCTTGTTCCTGTCTTCACTGTTAGACGGGTAACAATGGTGATGGGCTGCTCTGCATTTTACATGCTGCTCTCTCTGTCATCAGGACCTTCGCTCTCCTCTTCCCCTCTGCCAGCTTAGTCCTCTGCGTCCTTTCAGACCAGCTGTAGGCAGACTTCTGAAGCAATTCCCAAGCCACCACAGGTGTTGTGATAGCCTGTCCCTGTTCTCCCAGGCGCTCTGACAGCGTCCTCCGCTAGAATTTATCATCGTGGTGTTGCATGTGTTAGTACGCGTCTCCACCACCAGACTGTATGTTCTTTGAAGGGAAGGACAGTCTTCATGCAGCCCCAGGATCTGCCTGGGGCCTGGTGCACAGTAGGAGTTTAGTTGAGGGAAACAAAGTGACTTAGGAGTGGTGGGGTGTTGGTGTCGGCACATAGGAATGGAACACAGCCGTTCAGTGGCACAAGATAGAGGCCATGTTTGCTGTTTTTCTGAGCCCTTCTTTTTCACGTAGATATCACTGGTATTGTCAGTTAGCTACTTTGATAGCGGACTGCTTCACAACTTGACAAAACCTGCTGCTTTTTCTCATAGGTATTTACATAAAGAATTTGCAGAGTCCTGGTCAGTTCCTAGATTGGCTGAAGGCTTTGGTGTCAGCACTGATGTGATCCGAAGGGTTTTAAAAAGCAAGTTTGTACCCACATTGGAGCAGAAGCTGAAGCAGGATCAAAAAGTCCTTAAGAAAGCTGGACTTGCGCACGCACTCCGGCGGCTCCCCGGCTCTGGGGACACCTTGAAGTCGCTGTCTGCGAGTCACTCTGGATCAGGCTCTATGCTGACGCCAAGGGGTGAATCCTCATTCAGAGGCTTGGGTCACAGCACAGCTTTGCACCTGGTAGACTCCAACACTCACGGTACAAATACACCACGGAGACAGAAGGGAGGGAATCAAGGAATCCAGGTCCCGGAGGAGGACCGCTCCGTGCCTGTTGCAGCAGCCCTAGGTCGTCAGCGAGAGCTGCAGAAGTCCTCCACCAGGGCGGTGCGGGCAAGAGAGGACCTGATGGTTATGGATTGCCAGGCGACACGCCGGGAGATCTGAAGGCAGGGGAGCCGGATGAGCAGAACTTCAGCAGCAAAGTCGTCCAGAGGGGGCGAGAGTTCTTCGATAGCAACGGGAACTTCCTGTACAGAATCTGAGCTGGAGCATGGCTTGTGGAGGTGCCAAGTGAAACACAGCTGGGCCAGTATATCTGGGGCCGCCTAGACTTCTGTTTGTGGAGTATCCACCTTGGGATAGTAGGAAATGATGAGCCTGGAAGGTGGGAGGAAAGAGCCTGTCGGATTGAATCTGATGAAAGGTAGTGAGCTTCACAGGGCAGATGTATATGGCTGGTCAGGGTTAATGACTGCTGGGTACATTCTGGTGTCCTGGTCTGACGCATGTGGATCCGCAGTGCTCACCCTTCTTGCTGGGGCTCTGTGTGTGGAAACCAGCCCCTGTTGCGCGTGTTGTTAGTCCTCTCTGATACTTGGAATATGTGTTTGGAGAAAACTGCAACGTTTGCCTTCTGACCTCACTTCTTGAATAATGAACACTGATAGTTCGGGAACTTCCGGAACTGCTTAGTCTATTGTTTTCATTATATGCAAAAATAAAGTAAAATGTAGCTTTTGTGTTGATTGGTGCTCTCTGGGGTGAGAGGGTTTACCTGTGAATCTGGAGAGGGAGGGAGGGAGGGAGGGAAAGAGGCAAAGGGTCCCTTGCCCTTAAACACTGGGAGAGATATGGAGCCTGAGGAGTTCCCAAGAAAGGGCCCTGTGCTTCACCCTTAGTCATAGGCTTTGACAGCCAAAAATGGGGACATTAGTCCTTCACTGATCACCTCGTGTAAAGCACCTCTTCTTTCCTTCAGTTGCTGGGGCTTTGAAAGAGATTGAGTATGGGGATTGACACCCCCGCCCCCCAAAAAAAAAGCAGGCAAAGGCTTTATGGCCTTAAGCATAATCTCTGGCTACTTTTATTTTTTTTTTTAAGGATTTTATTTATTTATTTGGTGCAGAGAGACAGAGATCGTAAGTAGGCAGAGAGGGGAAGCAGGCTCCCCACTGAGCAGAGAGCCCAATGTGGGGCTTGATCCCAGGACCCCGATATCATGGCCTGAGCCGAAGGCAGAGGCTTAACCTACTGAGCCATTCAGGCGCCCCACTCTCTGGCTACTTTTAAAAGCTTGAATAGCATCTAATTTTGCTGTTGTCATCAGATTTTTCCAAGGAAGCTGAGATGTGGGTGAGAACAGGTAATAAGCCCCTGAGTTTACTGATTTTTGAAGAGATAATTTCATTATAACCAGAAACTGACAATCAGTAGACAGACAGAATGAGACACATGCAAGCAACGGAAGAGTCCAAGGACAGCGTTCAGCCATGCCTCATTTTAACAAGTCACTGGTAAAAAACTGGTTATTCAGAATTTAAATATATGCAGGATGTTTAGTGAAAATAATTGATTTTCTAAACCTGTCATTGAGTGTTTGTGAATCTCATTGCTATCTCAAATGTCACTAGTATTGGTTACAGTATCATTGATTACTGTTAACTTGGGCATTGGATGAATGGCAAGGCTCTGTCCCATGCCAGGCAAAGGTAAGAGAATCCAGGTGCTGGTCATACAGCAGTAGGCAGGGTGCCTGGGTGGCTCAGTTGGTTAAGCCACTGCCTTGGCTCGGGTCACGATCCCTGAGTCCCGGGATGGAGTCCGCATCAGGCTCCCAGCTCCCCAAGGAATCTGCTCTCTCTGACCTTCTCCCCTTTCATGCTCTTTCCCTCCGTAATAAATAAATAAAATTTTAAGAAAATATAGCAGTCGGCAGATAAGGCTCTGTTCTCCCTGCTTTGTCACTATCATGACTCAGTTTTTTTATGATTTAAAAAGTATGGTAACTTGTCATTAGAACCTTTTGGTCATTTTAAGAGGTGGAAGATGCTATTTGACTAATTTTTAACTCCTGCAAATCATTTGACTACGCCCTTTCCCCAGTGGGCTATGGAAAATTAGAAGCTGTTGTTAAAAAGCTTTGATAGGTTTTCCATTTACCTCATCCCCTACCATCCTACTGCATACCAAGCTTAAATCTTTTTTCCATTCTTGCAAATGCCAATCTAAGGTTTTACGCCTACTGGTTCTTTGTCTCCAGATTTTCACATGGTAGATTCCATGTCATTCAAGCCTCAGATCAAATGTTACTTTCTTAGTTAAGCCTTCCTTAATCACCCAGTCTAAAGCAACTCCTTTCACATTCTGTGACCACACCGTGTTTAATATGCCTCGACATTGAAATAGATTACTACTGTAGTGTCCGTCATCACCCACCTTGTGCACGGGGGCAGGAGACCTGTTTTGTGTTCATTGCTGTAGTTTCAGCTCCCAACATAAATTCCAGTTTTGGTTGAGTAAAGGAATGTTTGGAGAAGCTTACCAGTCAGTCCAGAATGGCAGAAAGCCCTGCCTTTTCCTTTTGCCAGACTACCCATCCAGACTTCAGTCAAGACCTAAGCTTTCTCCAAGTTGAATTGTTCCTACTTTATTCCTTTTTATTTATTTGACAGAGAGACACAGTGAGAGGGAACACAAGCAAGGGAAGTGGGAGAGGGAGAAGCAGGCTCCCCGCTGAGCAGCGAGCCTGATGGTCCCAGGACTCTGGGATCATGACCTGAGCCAAAAGCAGACGCCTAATAACTGAGCCACCTAGGCAACCTACTTTATTCCTTTTTAAAGATTTTTATTTATTTGAGGGCCGCCTGGGTAGCTCAGTGGGTTAAAGCCTGTGCCTTCAGCTCAGGTGATGATCCCAGGGTTCTGGGATAGAGCCCCACATCAGGCTCTCTGCTCGGCAGGGAGCCTGCTTCCCTTCCTCTCTCTCCGCCTGCCTCTCTGCCTACTTGTGTTCTCTGTCAAATAAATAAAGTCTTTTGGGCGCCTGGGTGGCACAGTGGGTTAAGCCTCTGCCTTCGGCTCAGGTCATGATCTCAGGGTCCTGGGATCGAGTCCTGCATCGGGCTCTCTGCTCAGCAGAGAGCCTGCTTCCCCCTTTCTCTCTGCCTGCCTCTCTGCCTACTTGTGATTTATCTGTGTGTCTAATAAATAAATAAAATCTTTAAATAAATAAATAAATAAATAAATAAAGTCTTTAAAAAAATAAAGCGAATCCTATATGCTTCATATTATTTCATCTATAATACTTATATATCTGAAAGAGATGACTCCTTATTTTCTTTAAGTTTACTAATTTTTTAAGTAATTTCTACACACAATGTAGGGATCAAATAGGATCCTGAGATCAAGAGTTACATGCTTGGGGTGCCTGGGTGGTTCAGTGGGTTAAAGCCTCTGCCTTTAGCTCTGGTCATGATCTCAGGGTCCTGGGACCAAGCCCCACATCAGGCTCTCTGCTCAGCAGGGAGCCTGCTTCCCTTCCTCTCTGCCTGCCTCTCTGCGTACTCGTGATCTCTGTCAAATAAATAAATAGAATCTTAAAAAAAAAAAAAAGAGTTACATGCTTTTCTGACTGAGCCAGCCAGGTACCCCAAACTCCTTTTTCTTTTTTTAAAAGATTTTATTTATTTTTTAGAGTGCGAGTGCGTGAGAGTGGGGGGAGGAGCAGAGGAGGGACAAGCAGACTCCATGCGAGCAGAACTTGGCGTGGGGCTCAGTTCCACAACACCAAGACCATGACCTGAGCCAAAATCAAGAGTCAGATGACCCACTGACTGAACCATCCCAGTGCCCCCCAAACTCTTTTTAACATAGACACATAGGCCATGACTATACCTTAAAAGTTTTAGTAATTATTAGCAGCTAATATCCTGATAGTTACTCTCTTACTGTTTCATAAATTAATTTTGTGGTTGATTTCTTGGAATTAGGATCCAAACAAGGTCCACACATTGCAACATTGCGTGATGTAGCTACGTCTTAGAAGTGTCTAAAATTCCAAAGTAGTTTCCCTTTCTGCGTTACTCCATTTTTTTTTTTAAGATTTTATTTATTTGACAGATCACAAGCAGGCAGAGGGGCAGGCAGAGAGAGAGGAAGGGAAGCAGGCTCCCCGCTGAGCAGAGAGCCTGATGCGGGGCTCGATCCCAGGACTCTGGGATCATGAGCTGAGCCGAAGGCAGAGGCTTTAACCCACTGAGCCACCCAGGCGCCCCTATTCCCCTATTTTACAGGTTTTCTGACCCATACATTTTCCTGTATTCTTAAAATATATATATATTTATTTATCTATTTATTGAGAGACAGCGAATGCGAGAGGGTGAAGGGGCAGAGGGAGAGAGAATCTTAATTACGCAGACTCCATGGCCGGCATGGAGCCGGATGTGACCACGCTGTGATCATAACCTGAGCTGAAATGAAGAGTCGGATGCTAACCGACTGAGCCATCCGGGTATCCCTATTTCCTGTATTTTGGATATAGCAGATTTCATCCCTGTGATGTTTATTTATTGTCATGTTCCTACTACCCTCCATATTTCCTATCAACTGGTATTTACATCTTTTTATTTGCTCTGGTTCAATTTTTGACAATCAGTGAAGCTTCGTACTTCCTATACATCTCACAAGGAGAAGACGATGTGATGTTAGTATGGATTAGTGAGTTTAGGTATTGTCAGCGGATCTATCCCTTATAATGGCTTAAAAAACAAAAACAAAAACAAACAAACAACAAGGTGAATCTAGATCATTACCATCAGCCCTAAAAATTGCCTAGTTTCTTTTCCCAGTCAATTCTTAACCCCAAAGTCAATCACTTCCTGAAATGTTTTTTTCCACCACCGATTAGTTTTCCCTGTTCTAGAACCGTATCTAAATGGCATCATAAAGATGCCGCTCTGTATCTGGGTTCTTTCATGTATTCAGTTATTTTTATTACATGAAAATGCCACAGGTCGTCCATTTCCTCACGAACGATATTGAGTCAAAACTCCTGAATCCAAAGGTGATAGCTGGCGGGGCTTAGCTTCCACTGGATCTTCACGCCTTCCCCTTCTCCCCCCACCCCCCCGTGTCCCATCCCTCCGCGTCTTGCCTCCTGCAAGGCAGCTAAATCTGTGGGGGTAGCTTTGACTGACAGCCAAGATCCCCAGGGATCAGTGCCCTCCGGATCCCGAGTGGGTCTCGCCCATTTTACGAAGTTCTGAAAATGTAGCAGAAGTGCCCAACCCTCGCGAGCTAGGAGAATTGGGTGTACGCTTAAAGATTAGCGATGATGGGACCGCTCCACACCGCCCAGGTAGGAAACTAGAACGCTGACCCATTGCCTGCCTTTTCAAAGGTCCCTTCCCGGGCGCCGTCCCCGTCCCGGCAGGCTGAGCGCGGGTCG